CTAACAAATTGACAGACTAATACTCCATAAAACTGATGTACTAACCACTGCAAAAAATATGTTGACTCCATTTTCTAGCATCCAATATTCACTCCAACATCGATCAGAATTTCAAACTCAAGAGATTCAACAATTCCTGTAACTTAAATTGGTATTGAGGTGATCACTGTATGAACCTTCAGGATTCATAAAGTACAGGGTACAGATGAAAGGAAGTATCAGGAATGCAAGTATGCGAAGAGCAACACTAGAGGTGTACCAAGTGTTTTTTGTTTTTATCTGTTCATCGTTTATTTATTTCTGAATTACATTACACCATAATCTTGCAATTTCAGACTATAAGTTGACTGGCGTTATTGAATCAGTCCCTGAAGTAAAGAAGAAGAACGCGAGGAAGGTGCTGTATTTAACAGGCTGTGATGGAACAAGTGATAGTTCTCAAGTTCAATAGTATCCGACAAAAGCACTTACTTCTTGAAAGTTGAAACATTTCGAAATAATGGAGCATAAAGTTCTCGGTCATTTCTTATAACTGGAGCGTTCGCAATCTGTACCTTCGCAGACAATATTTCACGGTCACGTTCTGATGACCATCGGGGTCTCTACAATAAAAATTGAGGAGCTGAGTTATACATATAATGCAAAAACCAAAGCTTTACAATAACGACACTGAGTTTGAAATGGGAAGGTCTACCATTGCACGGAAACGAGCACGGCGATGGACTAGCAACCGCTCCATCTCAGGGATTGGTGTTATCATTTTTGGAGGCATTTCACACTTCATCTTCTTTTTAGCCAGGTTACTTACTAATGCAGAATTATTACTTGAGCCAGTAGCATGAGTATGCAGGAGGACACTACTCCCCTCAGACTCAGACGGAAGCGCTATCATTTCTTTTTCCCCTAAAGATGCATCAAAATTAGAACTATTGACAATGCTTACATTTGATGCCAAGTTTCCTGAAAATGTTACATTAACCAATGAATTGGCGGAGGTCAATGCAGTTTTCATCATTATACTCGAACTGGGCATTTTGTCTGATAAAGTATGATTATTTGGCTCCACAACCTGTTCAAGTGACAGGCTGGCCTTAATTTCACCATTGTTTTCCAAACCAAAATCATGAGTTTGATCATCACTTTCCACTGAATCCAATTCATCTTTGTTCCCTATCTCATATGCCATGTCATTGTCTAGATTGGCATCTTCAACAAAATCAACAGCATTATCAATGCCTTTGCTATCAGAAAGAACTTGATTTTCTTTCTCAGTTTCCTCGGTCATAATTATTTCGTCATCTCGACTGCCAGCAATGGCATCTGTTTGCCCCACCCGTTTGATGCTCCGAGTGAGTAGAGATTTGTTGACCAAATTTGACACATTATCAATAAGAGGATCATCAAGAATCACAGACTTGGCGGCAGCTGATTGCTTAGAAATAAGCTCGACCTTCTCATGTACAGTTCCGTCAGGTATAAGAGATAGAAGAGCATTGCCATAAGGAAGTATTAGGGACTGACAAAACAAATGAGTAGCAGCCACCAAACCTACCATCAATAGCCATTTCCATTTCTCAAACTGATATATCCTTCGAATAGGGACAGTGTAATCCATATTAGAGATTCAGCCAAAAGTATACCATGGGCCGAGGCGATCAAGAAACTGAAACTACTAATTATAGCCTGAAAAACATAAATTTGAAATTGCTATTGGATGCCAAAAGCTAGTCAAAGAACACCATTAAAAAAGAAGAAGAAGAATGAAAGAAAACAAAAAACTTGGCACTATTGGACGTTGAAACATCCAGAATCTCAGAATGGGTCCGTGGGTGTCAACTTAGATATCTAAAATCTTTTCCAGCAAAAGATCTTATTGATTATGACCATGAGAAACCTTGATGGCCTAATCGATCCTTAATTGAGTATCAAAAGAACCTAAAATGAGCCGCATTTTTGGCAACCATCTTCCCCTAAAACAACTACCATCACAATTCCAACCACAGAATCACCATTAACCAGCAAGACTTAAGGCTAAAGGCGTAACAAACAAATAAAAACGACTAAATCAAGTATATTAAACGCATTAAACAAAAGGATTGGGGTTTAAACCGCAAAATGGAGCCGAGGATTCTTCAAGAATTGTATTATACTCAAAGGAGTACCTCAGTCGGCGCGCGTGATCCGAGTGTAGAGAGAGGAAGCAGAGGTACCACCAAGCAAGCAGAAACTCGAGTACTAGTACCACTAGCCTGGAGAAGCAACATGCATCAAAATCCAAGAAGCCGTTTTTCCGTCACTGTCGGTTCTCGAGAAAGAGAGACCTTTGGCTGGTTTAGCTAGGCCTGTCAATCGGGCCTAATGAGCCGGGCTTTGATGTGTTCAAGCTCAACTCATTTAATTTGAGACATTTTCGGGCTTCGGGCTATGAGCTTCGGGTTCGTAAATGTGAAGCTCATACTCAACTCACATAATATTCGGGTTGTGAGCCTTAATCGGGCTTAGCCCAAGCTCACTTATTACTCCTGAATTTTCTTAATATAATTACTATAACTATTAAGTTGTAAAACTAATTTAACATTTACAAGACTATAATATTAAAACTAAACATGAACAAATAATAGTTCTTAAAAAGTATATAAACCAAAATTTTTTCAACAATATTTATATGTAATCTGTTTAAAATGCATGAAAAATAGTAATAAAACATGCAATCATAGGCCAATACATCTTTAAAAGTTGAAACTTTTTTTTATAATCTTGTGATTTAAATCCAAATATGCTTGATGATTTTTGTGTTTGTAGACCAAAAAAAAAAATCAACCAATAATATGCCAATACAAAAAGTTACTCAACCAATAAGAAAAATTAGAGATTTAGTTATGCATTACTAATATTGGCTCTCAAGAAAACTCATGAAAGAGTCTTTAGATGTGTTTTTGTGTTTTGTAATTTATATATATATTTAGTATTTAGCAAAAATATATTTGGATATATAATTATACATAATATCAAAATATAAATATTATATATATAGGTAATTAAAGGGCCGGGCCTATATCGGGTATGAGCCTAATAAGGCCCAAGCTCGGCTCACATTTAATTCGGGCCTAATTTTTAGGCTCAAGCTCAGACCGGCTCACTAAATGATCGGCTCATCGGGCTTTCTGTCGGGCCGAACGAGCCGAGCTCGGGCTGACCCAGCCCCATTGACAGTCCTAGGTTTAGCTAAGAAAAGAAAAGATACTGTGCCTTGATAATAAACTAAGCTAGACAGCCACAAGAAACAAGAAGTAGTACACAACATTCGAGTGGAAAACGTAACCACCCACCATCACTCAGGGCTTTAAAACACTTAGGGGCTGCTTGGTTAAAGGGTATGGGAATCAAATAATGGAACGAACCCCTTATTTGTTGCTTGAGTTAAGTCTATTGGAATGCAATTTCTGGAATCATTTCTAAAAAATCGGACTTTCACCATTCCTGAGTAAATTGGGAGGTTTTGGACAAAACCCTCAACTCATTCCCGAGCAAAAATATTTATGACGAACCTACCCTCTTTTTTTCTTCATTACACGCCGCACCTTCTGTTCTTTTTCTTCATCAGATTTTCTACCTCTTCTACTTCACCGGTTGAACAACCATAAAGATCAGTGGCTTTCGACTCTCCTTGGACAACGAATTCTAGAGTTGAAGAGTCTTCTACTAGGGTGAATTCCTTGATCCCAGGTCAGTGGATTACAAACTCCCTTGCCTCTGCAATTTTCTTTTCGTATGCAAGCTTTTCTCTTTCTTCTTCTCTGTTTTTTCAGGCTACTCACTGGGTAGCTGAAAATAAAGAAGAAAAGAAGGGAATCTGATACAATAACACTAACTGGACCAAATCTTCTCTGTTTTGCAAAAAAGTCTTCCTTCCATGAATTCATATTCTTTTGTTACAAAATCCAATAAGAAATTATTTCCGCAACAAATACACTATTATTGGTGAGAATAATACATGTTTTTAATCCATGTATTTTGTTGTAATACATGTATTTTAATTCACTTACTTCAACAAATACATTATTTTGTTCTTTTTTTTGGTGAGATAAATGTTAATGTCACTAGATTTGTCATTTTTATGTTTTTAATGTGTTTTCTTGGATTTCGCATTCAATGGAGGTCAATCAATTCTTGATCTTTTGGTTATTTGATCCGTGAATACTGGTATAGTTTGGGTGGGTTTCTACATGCCCTGTACCTGTTTGTAAAATTGTCTGCTTGAATAGCTTTCAGTTTCATAGTTATTCGTACATTAGGATTTCAAGTTTCAACCATCAATTTCGTTTGTTTATGCTTATTTATATCTATACATCATTGTGTTTACGGATGTATGATGCATGTCTAGGCCCTTTTAATAAGATCAATTGATGTTTAATGCATTTGAAGATTTTGATGCTGTAATCTAGTTTGGTGAATACTTACGTTTGGTTGTCATATTGTTATGTAGACAAAGATGCCACGTTTGCCTATTGAAAACAGAAGACGCAAAAAATATCGAGGGCAAAGCCAGATTTTATCAGGAATGATAATGGTTGTTATTGCACTGTTTATGATGTGGTACCAGTTAATATTCATACATCTCAAAAGTAGAAGACGCCAAATAAAATCAAAAGAAGAAAAAGTCACTGAGCGCATGCAACACTTATTCAATTTGACTAGGGAGAGTGATGCTTATTGTATTAGCGAACTTCATATGGATAGACGAACATTTGGGATATTATGTGAAATGATTAGAGACACTGGAGGTTTGAAAGCTACAAGAAACATGTCAATAGAAGAAATTGTTGCCATGTTTGTATATGTTTTGGCTCACCACAAGAAAAGTAGAACAATTTGTGGTCTATTTTGGAGAAGTAGAGAAACGGTGAGTCGTCAATTTAATCTTTGCCTCCTAGCAGTTTTGAAATTGCATACTATATTACTTAAGAAGCCTGAGCCTATTACCGAAGATTGCACGGATGAGAGATGGAAATGTTTTAAGGTAATTCAAATATTAAAATACAATCATTTAATAAAATGTATGTTTTCATCTAAACTATCCAATATAGACATTTTAACTCATTTATATTTTTTATTTTTGTTAAAATAGAATTGTTTAGGTGCCTTAGATGGGACATTAATAGATGTGACACCACCCACCGAACAAAAATCAAGATACCGAACGAGAAAAGGAAGTATTGCAACGAATGTATTAGGGGTTTGTTCTCCTAATATGCAATTTATCTATGTCTTGCCTGGTTGGGAAGGTTCGGCACATGATGGTCGTGTGCTTCGAAATGCTATCTCTAGACCAAATGGTCTTAGAGTCCCACAAGGTAAACATATATTGCAGTATTCAATACCATTCAATCAATTTTTTTTCGAAAATAAGGTAGTCTAGTATTAATTTGTACATGATTGAATTTTGAAGGTTGTTATTACTTGGTGGATGCTGGATATTGTAATGCTGATGGATTTCTTGCCCCTTATCGAGGGCAAAGATATCACCTTAATGAATTCAATGGTTATCGACCACAAAGACCAGAGGAATATTTCAACATGAAACATTCTAAAGCTAGAAATATCATAGAAAGATGTTTTGGATTACTAAAAGGAAGGTGGAAGATTCTAGCATCCCCTTCATTTTTTCCAATTCAAAGACAAGTGCGAATAATTATGGCATGTTGTCTGCTGCACAACTTGATAAGGAAGTTCATGACTTTTGATCCACAAGAATTACTACAAAGTGAAGAAAATGAAAGTGAAGATGAAGACAGTGATGAAGAAGTAGAGTGTATATCCACTATTTTGCCAAGTGATCAATGGGCAAATTTTAGAAATAATTTAGCACATGAAATGTTTGACAATTGGAGGGCTGGACTTAGTATTTAGCTATGAATGGATGTTTAGCTCTTAGACTTATTAAATTTGGATTGACATTTGATGTACTCTTGTAGTGGATTTGTGAATTAGATTGACACTTGATGTATGTTCTTTTAAATTTGGATTGACTTTTAATTGTATGTTCTTTTATGTGTTTTGTTATATTATAAATTTCAGTTATATGCTATTGTGTATCAAAATTAATTGATATATATGGGTTGACTTCTAAATGATAGGATGGAGAATGATGAAATTGTACGTGGAAGAGGGAAAAATAAATGTTTTTGGACTGGTGAAGAGGTAAAAGTGCTCATAGAATCATTGCAAGAGTTGGCTTGTGATCCAATGTGAAAATCAGATGGAGGATTTAAAAATAATTATATGAGCGAATTGCTTAAAATTATCTTGCGTAAGCAACCTACTTTTACCAAACAAGTCAGCCCACATATTGAATCAAAAGTTAAGTGGCTGAAAAATAGGTTCCATGCAATTGTTGAAATGTGCAAAGAAAGTGGTTGTAGTTGGAATGATGCTGAGAAAAAGATTTCTTGTGAAAAACAGTGGTATGATGATTGGTGCAAGGTAAGAAATTGATTACTTTTTACATTCTGATATGTTCTTTTTCAACCTTTTATTAAGATTATCATTTATCTTTCTATTCTATCTCTAGACTCATAAGGATGCGAAGGGCCTTTGGGATGTCAAATTTCCATATTTAGGAGATCTTGAAATTGTATATGGAAGAGACAGAGCCACTGGAAATGTTGCTGAAGATTTTGCACAAGCTGTCCAAGATATGGAAGATGTCCAAAATTTGGAGGAAGGACATGAAGGGCTTGATGCTATGTCAAACTCGGATAATGATAAGGTAGAAGAAGATGAAGTAAATTCCATAGAGCAATCAACTCAACCAAGCTCAACAAGTACAAGAAATTCCAAGAAACAAAAGAAACAATCCCCTCCCATTGCAAATGTGTCAAAAAAAATGAAATCTGCATCAACAACAAGGGGTGATCTTGATGCATCATTGCAACTTCTCACCAGCAAATTTGGAGATTTCGTGGAGGGAATTCAAGCTAATTTCACAACTATGGCAGCAGCCATGTCAAATGAGGATAAACGTGAGCAATTGGTCTCCGATAGAAGAGATCAAGTTGTTGCTGAGTTAATGAAACTTGCTTTACCGAGTGGAGATGTAATGAATGCAGCCGACATACTTTCGGAGCAGATTTCCAAGCTTCATGTGTTCTACAATCTTCCTGCAGAAATGAAACGACAATATGTAATTAACCTCCTTTATCCTCCATCTACTCGCTGAAGTAAAATTATTGTTAGCTGGAAAGTGATGATTTGATGGCAATTTCTTTTTGTTATGGTGATTGTTAGATGGTTATATGATTAGTCTTTTGGAGATTGTGGACATTGAGTGGCACTCTCGACTGGATTAGACAATTGACTTGTATTTGGTATGGTTAGCTTTTGTGATTTGAGTCTCCTTCTTTTGTTCATATATGTAAGGAGAGATCTATTTCATATCATTATCTAATATAAAAATGCAACTTTCAAATACGTTATTTTAATTTTCGTAAATTTGTTTAAATATAAAAAATTGGTTAAATAGCGTATTAAATACAAAACCTGCTAATTTCCCATAAAGATCTGGTATCTTATGAGTAATTTCTTTTTTTTTTTAACTTTCACATATTTAATTTATGTTAAATACAAAACATACTAGTTTTCCTTTGGGCGCTATTTAATCAATTTTTTTCATAAAGAATTGGTATGTTTTCCATAAAGAGTTGGTACAAAACATACTACAAAACCTGTCAGTTTCCCTTAAAGAGCTGGTATCTTATGGGTAATTTTGTTTTTTTAACTTTCACATATTTAATTTATGTTAAATACAAAACATACTAGTTTTCCTTTGGGCACTATTTAATCAAATTTTTCCATAAAGCTGGTACAAAACCTGCCAATTTTCCATAAAGAGCTGGTATCTTATGGGCTATTTAACCAATTTTTCATATTTAAATAAATTTCCAAAACATAAAATAACGTATTTGAAAGTTGCGTTTTTATTTGGAAGAACACATTCCTTGGATGCATTTTTCACCCTTTGGGAAGAGACTAAAAAATCATCACCTTTTGGGTGATTGTTTAAAAACTCCTTTTTTTGGGAATTTACTCCTTGTTAATGCAGCCACTATATTTATTTTCTGGTATTAATTTTTTTATTATTTATGATTTTCTTATGTTTTATCAAAAAGTTAATAACTATTGTAGTTACAATTATGAAAATGTTAATTTGTCGTATGTGTAATTCTTTTGTTTTAGAAGAATTGTTATATCAGGGGTAAATTTGGAATTTAATTGCATTTAATTCCGAAACACTCATCAAACCAAGCATCAGGAATTGGAATAATGCTAATTCCAATGTGTGAACCAAGCAAGATATTGGAATGAAAAATTTTAATTCCAAAACCAGAGTCTATGATTCCAATTACAATTTCAATTCCTAAACTTGAACCAAGCGCCCCCTTAGTAGATTTCCTTGTTATTAGTAATCACTTATTAGACAAGTAGATACTCTGTAGCAGAGAGCCCTTATCCATCCAGAGTTATAAGACCAAACGAAAAAAGATTTTTTCTCTGCTTGCGTTTAACTTTGTGATAATCGTTTTGTTTGAGCTGTCTTCTTCTTCTTTTTATTTAATGCTTTTGGATTAATTGATCTTAAGCAATTTTCCTGCTTGCTTGAGTAAGATAGTTACAGGAGGAGAATATTCAAATGGCGAAAGTTTAGCTTATTGCTGATATTTTAATTTTGGGAAAATTGCAGAAACCTCCCCTGAAACTACTGACACTTGCACTGACCTCCCCTTTAAGTTCAGAAATGGCATACAGCACCCCTAAACAGGAACAATATGTTGCAAAATCAGTCCAGGCAGCTTGATGTCCCATTAAAAATTCATTTGTAGAAGTGAGATAAGAAATTTCTTTCAAATTTGTCCTGATCTTGTTTGACAAGTAATATTAACAAGGGAGGGGCATAGGCATTAATCATCAAGCAAGTTCAGGGGGTATAAATGCAACATCATGCTTCCAGACGTAGACCTGCAACAACTTCATTTGCTGAGAAATCAACGGCTACTTAACGGCTAATTGTGCAGTTCCTTGCACTTGCTTATAAACGATGGTCAGTCTCCCATGAATACCAGGATTACTACAAAATAATGAGCAGCAATTTTTCAACTCAGTTTGCACAGCTTGCTTGACATTCAGTTTGGCAGCTTCAAGTCATATTGCAGTCCCTAGAGAATGGCTTCTTCCAACCACAGGAGAGCATCATGGAACTCCCCAACATCCTTCACAATACAAAACAAATATTGCTGGTGCAATCGAAAGGCAACATTGAATAATAGTTGACAGGTGTCGAGTTTGTGCAATAATAATTACATTCTCAAGAGAAATACAAATTTTGTATATAGCGGTAAGTAGGGTCGAATCCACAGGAATTGAGGATAATTCGTTTCTTCTAGAGTACAGCGCATAGGAAATTTTTGAAAAATATAAAATAACTAATTAACTAACTAATGAAACAACTAAGAGAAATAAACAAGAATTAATCAATAACCAATACGACTTTAGCCAAATGTGCAACTTTTCAGACACGGTCCAATCAACTGATTATCGATGCAAAGATAATTCAATTACTCATTACGAGATTGGTTATAGTTGTCATACACGCGATGAACAATCAGTCTTTTCTTAATTTCTCGAAAGTTAAGGTACGACCGTTAACTATTTCTCTAACCAAGAAATAACCCTAGGTATGACCGTAGGATTTAATTATTCGATTGCATTAATAATTAGAAAAATCCAACCCTAACCAACAAACACGCTACGATGATTTGTTTAACTTAAATCATACGTTTCCCTAACATGAAATCAATCACGTTAGTTACCACTAGTATTAATCAATTGAACAATTACGGATTCAATCAATTAATTTGACATTAGATCATTAGATTAATTCGAATATCGGGCTCTTGACATTCAAATAACATAACAAGCATAAGCAATTAAATCAGGAAATATACAAATACCAATGAATAAAAGAAATAAATAAAATTAATTCGATTTCACAGATATTTGGAACCGCGTCTTTAAGTTGGCTTTCGACTAGATGAGAAACTTAGTTCATCTACATGGAGGAAATCTCATGCGAAATTGCAAAAGTTATTATCGAAAATAAGCTATGTTCCCCTCGAAGAGACGAAAAAGGAAAAAATAAATAAAAACGAAGGAGTTGGATGAAACCCAAAGGAACGGAGTTGTTTCTAATCTAAAACAATTGTCTAACTTCTCTTCGTGATCTCCACCGGATAAGGAACAATTAACAACAAAAAGCTTCCATCACTCCCCGAGAGATTCCTTCCTTTTCGTTTTGTAGTCCTAGTAGGACTTCTAGTATATGTCAACTCTTTATCAGCACCAAGATGGAAGATCCGTTTGTAGCATCTTGTGGAGCTAGGTTTGTAATTACTTTTAGGCACTTCCCACGTATGGAGTATTTGTCTCAAAAAGATCTCCATTTTTTAGCACTTTTTTGCCCCATTTCCTGAAATTAGGTTCAAATACCAAATATAAGTATATGTTAACAATTAAAGCAATATTTGGCAAGGACAAAGGGGAAAATAACAATAAAATAACTAACAATTAACACCCTATCAGTAGTAATAGAAAATGATTAACTTCATCAAGCATTAAACAAGAGTAACATATAATTCTTGACCAGATTTGGCTTCAAGTGTTAGAGATGATAATTCACTTGATGTTTTCAATGACTAACCGGGTAATATGGCACAGATGCAACGACCTTTGTAGGTGATGATGAAACCTTGGATGAAAGAGCATTTACTGCTGCACTAAGGAATTGAGTCGAGCCACCGCCAAAGACTATGTATTTTCCATCTATGATTGCATTTCCGGTTGTAGCATGCAGCTTTCATATTTGCTTCTCCTGTTTTTTAGATGTTAGTGAACCATCTTCAAATTCATAGCCCATGTGATGCCATCCTGCCACCATAATTGCACTACTTGATGCATTCTTTCTCCAGAAAGGCTCTAAGAACGTCGGGTTTCCTCTGCATGCAACCAAGAGAGTCAAGATTAGATTTCAACGTTTTTTCAGTCCAATTCAACATACGTAAGAGCTACAGTTCTGATTCATCAACTAAAACTCTAATGTAGAATTTTTTTGCTTATCCAAAAGTATTAGAACTTTTCAAAAAGTTTGCAAGTATAGACCACTGGAGAAAGGATTTCAAAAAATTCAATCTAGAATTCACAACGGTATAAAACCCAAATTTTCAGACCTTGGGCAATTGACCCTCCCTCCCCCCGCTCTAGTTCTATTGGTGGTTAGACTAATACCTATCAGCGTCTGCAATGCAGTCAGGCATAAGCTCTGAACAATCATGGCCTGTATAGCACCCAGTACATTCACAAACTGGTTTTCCACCATCTAAAACTAAGCCATCTAGGTAGGCACTTCCATGGCCTGAGCATGAAACTGACCGCAAGTTGTCTTGCAAAGAATAGCGAAAGTAGATTACACGTACGTTCTCTTTGTTTGTAGGAGATTTTTTAATCTAAATGTTTCATTCAAAGTTTTGTTTGACAATCTGAAAGTAGTAGTGGAAAATTTAGACATAGATTTCATTTCTTTAAAATTGTTAAGCCTTTCAAGATGCATCATCTTAATTGGATTCACATTTTCATCTAGTTGTTTGAAGACAAAAAAACAAACTTCATCTATTTGGCTAAAGAGAAAAATGGAAAAAAAAAGAAGGGAGGAGATGGGAAGGAAGAAGCTAAATGGTGGCCGTTATACATTCTAATTTTCCCGTCAGTTAATCAAGACCAACTAAACTAATTAACAATGGTTACTTTATTCATTCCCAATTGGTTTTGAAGTAAAAGTTTATATTCTTTAACATGTTTTCAAAGGTAGTACTTGATCATGTTCCATCACACACGGCTCGAACTCTATGTATTGAGCTTGGTTTCATAGACTTTTGCTATGAAAATGCTCTGATTCATTTAGCCTTTTTTTTTTTGTCTTAACTAGTAAATTTTGTCTTGATTATAAATCTAGTCCGCTTGACCTGTTTAGCAAGTCACATTAATCTGTTCAGCTCAAGTCAAGGGTAAGAGGGAGTGTTTGCCAATTAATTTTAAGGTGAAAATAACTTCAGATTCTGCAACACTGACATTCAATAATTGAGTTACAAGTGTAAAACAAAAAACTAAAACTATTCAAAATAGTGCTAACATATATAGGTTACCTGATACAAGTGCGTACATAAAGCATACGCAGCTGGTAGAGTTATTGTAAGGTCAAATGCGATATTCATTGTACTTTGGAATCAGCTTACGCGTAACAAGAACTTAGCTCCAATGGTGCGATACTGGTTCATTCTAATGCGGGAAGAAAGAGTTCCCTGTAATCAAATTTACGTCCTGCTTCTTTTCACAGCAAATTAACTTATAAGCAAGTAAAAGGTACACGTTTTTTTGCTGCAGCTGCGACCATGAGTTATTGATATATAATCCAATTTTTCTGTGGAGAGTTAGTAGATGACTGAATTATTGATCGTTGGGACAATATTTTATTTTCTTTTTCACGTTTTGTTTGGACAAATTAAGGTAGTTGGGAGTTGAGACTTGCATTGAAGAATAAATGCCGATGACTGAGAATGCATCTTAGGATAATGTTTTAGGTGATCGATTAATTTAGTATATTAATTGTTTGTTTAGTTTAATAATAATAAGAAGAAATAGTTTGTTTAGTTTAATTTGTTTAAGAAAGGATTTGTTGGTTTTGATGAAAGTAATTAAACCTTTCATCTGGTAAAGTTAAATCCAATTGGGGTACTCTAGTAAATTCACACACTTTTACCTTTTAAATTGGTTCCAACTTTTTTTAAGAGAGGTCAATACTATTTCAAAATTGATAGGAGATGTCAATGTTAATAGTAGAAACCTCAGGGGAGGTTTCTGCAATTATCCCTTTAATTTTGAATGAATTGGCTGCATCTGGGACCCACGGGAAGTAGCCATTATTGAGCTACTTTCTGGCCGCAACTTTTTTATTATTATTATTACTTAAAAGGAAAATTTTTTAAATTGGTCCCTAATATTTTTACAAAAGAAATTTTTTTAGCTCTCAATATTTAAAATCAGTTAAAATCGCTTCTAACATATAAATTATGATCTATTTTTGTCATAATACTCGTATTTGCTCATTTTTTCAACTGAAAATAGCATGTTTCTCTCACGTGGATATATTTTTTACGGCAAAATTGGAAAACATACTTTCTTGCTTACCTTTCCCCTCCTCCCCAATCCCAATCATCACCACCATCATTATCAACACCGCCCACTTCCCTTCATTACCTTCTTCGTCCATCCCTCCCCTTCCGTCTGTGCCACCACCGCCACCCCGTGCTGCCCCTCTTGCATCTGTAAACTTGTCACCCCTCCTTCCCCACAACCATCACCTTTCCCTTTCTTTGGCATAACACCTCCCCCTTCAGGTCTTTCACCCTCTCCTCCTCGGTCAATTGCAGTCCCATCAACATATACCTCAGTTTTTCCACCACCTCTCACTATAAAGTCACCACTTACAAGCCCTCCCTCTCTTGCATTACCTCCTCCACCATCACCTGCTTCTTTCCAGGCTCCACCCTTGTTAAATTCCTCTCCACTTTCGATGGCGTCTCCTTCTCCCATCACCGCATCTCTTATTCTACCTTCTCCTCCTGCCTCCCGGAATAATGCATCCCAATCTGATGCTCCAACTGGCTCAATCTTACCAACAATTGCCCCTGAGAAACCCACTGCAAGATTAACTACACTTGCTCTAAATATTACTGCAATCACAATATCTAGAAATGGTGGGGGCATGAAGGGTGGAGTTGTCATGACAATTGGATTTGTGGGCTTTCTGGCAATTGGTCTTGTGGTGCTTGGTGTCTGCTTCGCACGAAAGCAAAAAAAAAAAAGGAGCCCTATTCAACATTGGGTATACAATGCCTTTTTCATATGTTTCCTCTCAAGATTCGGGGGGAAAATTAGGGTTTCTTGTGACTGTAATTTTAGGGCGAAAGATGAAAAGGGATACTATTGCTTTCAACCGAGAATAAAGTGTGTTTTTTTATTTTGCCCTTAAAAATATATCCACGTGAGAGAGGCGTGCTATTTTTAGTCAAAAAAATGAGTAAATATGAGCATTAGGTTTAAAATGGATCATAATTTATATGTTAGGGACGATTCTGGCTGATTTTAAATGTTGGAGACAAAAAAAGTTTTTTTTTGTAAAAATATTAGGGACCAACTTGACAAATTTTCCTATTTGAAATATTGCTGCAAGCACTGCAGATTCACTCTGTCACACTCAAACAACTTAATCACGTTGCAGCGAAATTTTTAAAACCTCATGGGGTGTTAATGCAAGTGTCAGAAACCTCAACCAACGGAGGTTTGTGAAATTATCCCTTATTTTCGTACTTAGAGAATTTTTTGGCTTTGACTTGTAAAAAGTAGTACGACACCCTTTACTAGATTTTGAACATTATCTTATACTACTAGTTAATTATTGTATAATCAAATATTTATCTTTCAATTAATTATCAATAGACACTGATGTTTAGTACGCTCACACTATGTCCCTTCAAGTGTAGACACTCTTTTTATTGAATTCAAATTCATTAGACAAATCCTTTTTTTCTTTGGTTGTGTTTTTGTTAAGATAAATTTAGTTTATTGTATTGTTTTTCAATCTGGCGACTTTAATATTTTGTTCAACCTAAAAAAGGATTTTGATTTTGGTTGATAAGTCAGTAGGGATGATTGGGTTGAGTGATAGAAAAGAAAAAGAATTTAAGATAAGATAATTATTAAAATAAATAAATAAATAAAATAAAAAGAAAAAGGAAAAGATAAGATAATTCACATAATCCCGAACGAAATCTGCTTAATTTATGAACTAAGACCAATAGTGCATGACTATCACACGCAGAATCATAAAAAGAAAAGTGTCAAATGGGTAAATTAAATAAAGTTGGCTGACTTTTTTGCAAAGATAAATGTTAGTAATTAATTAAATTGCGCAATCAGTAAAGGGTAACTAAATAATTGAAAGATCAATTACAAGTTCAAACGCCCAAGTACCCACGGGCAGGGCGGCAGAAAAGGGGCCAAATCTGTGACGAATTTTTATCTGCTGAAAGTAACACAAAAATGTCAATATACAAAAACAATAATGACAAGTTCCATGGAGCCAAAACGAAACAACTAATCCACCACCTACTATACAAGAAAATAATAATAATGTCATCATGGTTTTCGCAATAGTGCTTTTCTTCAAGATTATGTCATCCTGGGTGGATCTTCAGCTAATTTTAAAATTCTTGTTAATCACGGATTGCATCACTAGCTTCGTCCCTGTGATGTTTTCCACAGCTGAAACCTTTTTCCAGTAATCTGGACTTCCTCATCAAGATCAAGATTTTACCTGGAAAACTCTGTTGTACCAGATGGAGTGAAGGATCATGTAAAATAAGTCATACTTCACAGGAACTTTGTGCCAGAGAAAATGCCGTTGCACCATCTTTAATCGATTCTGCATCTCTATATACTTCTTTTCAGGAATCGAGAGAAGTACGTTCCTCAAGTTTGGGATATCTTGCTCTAATACAAAGACGGCAAATGATTCCCAATCCAAAATCTCAAAGAAGGGAGGCACGTAGTTATCTGATATGATTACAGGAATACATTCATAATATATGGATTCTATAACCCGCGGGGTGTGCACCTCGTAGCCCCGAGCGCAAATGCAATATTTGCTGCTTTTCATGAACTCTCTATATCTTTGTTTGCCGTCGGGATCACGAGGCATTGGCCCAAAAATCTTCATATCTGGCTCTTTGTCCTTCCAGTACTGTAGCAAGATAGGACGAAGATAACCGTGCATGCCCCCCGCAAAGAAGGCTAAAGTAGGCCTCTCCGAAGGCTGGTTCCCTCCAAGGTCTTTTAGAGGGTTCTCTGCTGAAAGAATGTAGGTAACCGGCAGAGACACATCCTTCCCTATTTCAAAACCTCTAGCAATGTTGGAATTGCAGAGGGCTCTAATGCAACTTCCCATACTATTCCTTGTGAAACCTGGGCCCTACAACAAAAAATTTTTCTTCGTTGAGGAACAAGCTTACCATCTGTTCAAAACATATGCTAAGGGGAAATGTTAAAATGCTGAATTTTCTTTGATGAAGTAACTACATTGATGATAATTTATTGAGTTACAACAATACAATCAACAAGAATGGCCATCCTAAATGGACTAAAAGCTTTTCACCAAACTGTTGCAGGATGACAGGTAATGCATGCATGCAAAACATCCAAAGGGATCAAAAGCTTGAACCAAAAAATCTAGAGGAGTCAAAAGCTTGAACTCCTAGAGAGTTCTAGATTTCAAGTGCAAGTATCATCTTGTAGCCAGAGAATTTAACAGCCAGAAAAAAGCATCAAGTTTGATATTGAATTCATCAATGACATCATGGAGGTTAATTCATATTCCTACCACCAGCCATAAACAATTCACCACGTACCCAATCATGGCAAGCAACTAGAAAATGATCTGCTCCTTTGGTTCTGTTCCAGAAGCGGTACTTACTAGCTATAACATGCACGTAGTTCTTCAGATGATTCTCTAAATCCCTATGACTTGTGAAGTTCTGTTGATACAGAACACTCCGCAGCCTTCGAGAACTAAATGGTAAATAAAATAAGTGTGCTTTTCTGGGATCCCGAACGACAAATTGCCTATTACCCTCCATCAGTTTCATGAACCATCCTTCAGAAGCATAAATTCCCCTGAGATGTGGTTGATGAAATACCGGTTTGTCCCCTTCCTTATAAATATACACTCTGAGCACACGCTCCATCAATTCATAACTTCTGCTACACACATTAGGAGGAGTCAGACCTACATAAGATAGCTTCAATCTAACTATTAAATTGGTAATTTCGTATTCAAGGCTAAAGCTTCGACTCCCCAAGACATGCCCGGACATATAGGTTTCTGAATCAATGTTTTGACTCAGATAGAATATTGAAAATTTCTGTGTAAGCGTTGCAGAGCACATAACACAATACAAATAGAATAGGTGTCTTGAAGAAAATTAAAGCACATGATATACTAATGTAGAATTCAATTTGAAGTCAAAAAAAAAAAAAAAATCAATTACCAATTTCTGGGAGTAATGGGTATAAGAAAAGCTAGCATGTAAATTACCCACCTTACAAACATGGAATAATTGCGGAAAAGATAAGCATAAGCTCTAGGAGCATTTCTTATTACAGGAGCATTTTCAATCTGACGCCTTGCATTTTGAAGCTCCTTGTCACGAGCAGAAAACCATTTTGGTCTCTATAACAAATTAAACTGAGAGATCAAACACAGAAAATAGAAAACTGACCACCATTGTTCATATTGAAATAATCTCTAATCCAAATTACCGGTAAATTTGCAGGTGGAGAGCCAAGATGCAACAAGATAGTCATGTCAGATATGGATTTTGTCCTTCTATTATTCTTCTTTATGAAAGGTTTGCCAAACATTCCCGAGCTATCTTTTGGTGAAAGTGAACCAGCTTGTAGTAAGCTATCACCTTGTTTGTGGGATTCCAAGTCAAGATCTTTCTTGTCAGTGTGTACTACAGAAATGTTGACAGCAGGGTATGGTACTGCAGCATCTGAAGCATCAGCAACAGACTCCAATCCAGTAGTCAAGGCCATTGGAGACATAAAATTGACTACACTTCTGATTGATCCTTTTGTCAAATTTGCAATTTCACCTGGGGCAAGGCTTTCGGAAACATCATCTTTTAATTTCTTTACGTGCTCTGTGAACTCAAGTCCAGTTTCTAGGCCCTCTAGTATAGGATTGTCCTCTGGTTCATTTAAGTACATCATTTTTGCAATTTTATCAGATGTTGATCCCCGGCCAGATGTGAACTGAGTTGGTAACTGTCTCTCCTTCTCCAAGTAATCACCTGTCTGTCCTCCCACCTCCGTTGAAATATTGTGGCCTTGATGCGATCCTTCTTCTTCTTGCACAATGAGAGCATCTTCATCCCAACCAGAAGCACTGTTGTCATTGGCCTTACCATTAAAAACATCTGCATTGGTCTGTTGCGAAACATTTGAAAGGATGGTTTTGCTAAAAATCAAGCTGATATTTGCATGTGATGGAACTGAGATGTAGTTTTGATACGGAACTACCAAAATCTGAGAAAGAATTATAAGGATGGTAATAATGCCAACCACATAAAACAATCTCTGGTTTCTGACAGTACACATTCTCTCCATCTGAGACCTGTTTCTCATGCTACACAGTAACAGCTAACCAAGAAACGACTGTAAGGTTGATTGACTTGGATGCAGCACCGAAACTAAAAAACTGATCCGCCAGATTCATCCCATGTCCTGGAACAACAAATATGAAGCATGAACACAAGTAAATTCTACAGGCCTACAAGTTATACCTTTGATTTTGGTTTATCCAACAAAATTATGGTAATTTTTTCAAATGTTTTGAATTTTGTTAGAAATCAAATAAATATTGATACTTCCAGGAAGAAGTTAAATCCACACCTAGTATAAGTTTCAGAACTAATAGCACAAATCAACAATTTTCTCATGATCCTTCCGTGGAATATGCTCATGCCTGCCAAACTCAATCTTCGCTCTTCATATTCTCATATTTAGTTCAAGCATTCATCATGCGCAGCAATCATAAGGCAGGCAGGATTTTTTTCCCATTTTTTGGGCTGCATAAAGATGACTTCAATGCTTCTGGAACTTAACAGAGGTTTCAATACTAGTAATTTAATTAGTAGTAAGAGTCACAATAGTTTAGCATACAGCCCCACAACTACAGCTGAACAATCCTTCAACCTCATCTTCAGTTAACTTTAGTTTCATAAAAGTTTGCAAGATACATAATCCCCAGTAATTTAAAGAATGTAAAGCATTTTCAGTTAGCTCAAGCCTCAAGGACAGCAAAAAGACGGCTCGATTTCCTATTGCTATAATTTACAGCAGCAAACTTGAAAGTCAAGAATCCCAGAAATTAAACTCATTTCTAGATTCTACCATTGCAAACACACGAGGATTTCAAGTGGGAAATTATCAAATTTCTAGTTACTTTAATCTACTAGGGGCTGAGGAATAGTTCAAACACTAGCTAAAAGTGGCAAAACGGCCACAAAGATTCAATCTTTTGTTTAAAATGGTGAGCCAAAGATATTCAGAAATATAAAAGAACAACAAATTTTGAGCTCCTGCAAAGTTGACGACTTATAGGAAGAGGTTCCAAGATACCTGAGAAAACTTTTATCATCTGCTGCTCCAATTATAGAGTCAAAAGCTGAAGACCCATTGCCAATATTCCAACCAACGTGAGGAGGTTGACCATTCCATAATTGCACTCAGCTGTCTCCACACTTACGGATAGATAATCACAGCGAACTGAAGTAAAAGTTCAATCCGACGTCGTATGATGACCTTTGTTACTTCTATTTTTAGTAAATATAAAATGCACTTGTTCTCTCGTGCTCTAAGTTGGATGAAAGGATTTTTTTTTTCTTTTCTTTTCTTTTATTAATAAAGTTATACAAATTCTAAATACTTGTCAAGTAGTTTTGATTTAGTAATTAATTTGAAACTCATGGTTAAACGTTATGAGTTTTGAATTTGGTAAATTTTTTTTTCTTTTGGTTCCTTGAGCTTTCCAAAATACTAATTTGAGAATTAGGGGGTTTTGAAATGTTCTAGTTTCATGAAATCAAGTGAATAAAGAGAAAATCCTGGTTATGGTTAAATTTATTCCAATAATTATCAGTAAATTTTTTTTTCCGCCGCGAAATTACAATAATGATCGGAATTACAAGGTGGTGTCGCCGCGGAGTTCTCAATTGAAACCGATAAATAAGTATAGGAATTAAATTGGCCAACAAAATTATGTAAGGACTAAATTGATAGTAAAAAGAAGTATGGGGACTAAATTGGCCATTTTCCCTTTTTACCCAAAGGGGAACAAAAATCGTAGTCTCGTCCTGCCGAAACTACCCTCGGCATTTCACCTGATTTCCAGTTCAAGAAACCATCTTGTCTTACTTCCCAGCAAGTATTTGCTCGACCCAGCTGAAGCTAAAGCTGAAGGAGGAGTTGAACTGGAAAATAGAAACGTCTCCCTCCGTCGGGGCAAATTATAGCTTTATGCTTATATTGATCAAAGTTTGAAGCTTTTTTGAGGAATATTCAGCCAAAAAATGGCCTTGAGACCAGTAATCCAGTTTCCGGTATTCGTCCCACCACCACCCAGCGCTCCAAACCACCGCCCAGCCTTTGAAGTCCGCTTCTCACGGTGGAACAACGCCAACGCTCAGAAATTCATCCGCCGCGAACGCACCCAAAAGGAAATTGAAGACCAAATCCGCTCCCAAAGACGCTTCGATTCCGCCTTCAACATTGCCCATAATTACAACCCGGCACCTCCCACCCCTACCTTTAAATCCACCGGCACCCCTTCCTCTCCTTCCCACCCTTCAATTCCGGGCAAAAAGTCGAAATACTCCAAAAACCCACAAAAACCTAGACTTCCCTTTGATCACCCCGCATTTAAACCCGTCCTTAAACACAAAAAAATACCAGTTAAAAGAATTAATCCTAGCCGAACGACTGACGAAAGTACTAAAGCTGAAGAACAAGAAAAATTTGCTCCCAACGTCAAAATTGATGAAAAAGGGTTGTCATATGAATTTCCTGAAGCTCCATTTCTTTATCAGTATAGTTATACCGAGACGCCCAAGGTGAAGCCGGTGGGGATCAGGGAGCCGCTTGTGGCGCCATTTGAGCCAGGTACTATGGGGAGGCCGTGGACGGGGCGGAAGCCGCTGCCGCCGAGTAAAAAGAAACTGCCGGAATTTGATTCTTTTCAGCTCCCTCCACCTCATAAAAAGGGTGTGAAGCCCGTCCAGGCACCGGGCCCATTTTTGCCGGGAACTGGGCCAATGTATGTGAAGTCTAGAGAGCAGATATTGGGGGAGCCCTTGACCAAAGAGGAGATTAAAGCGCTTGTTGAAAGCTGCAAGAAATGGAAGCGCCAGCTGAATATGGGTAATAATCAATGCCAACCTTGTTTTTTGATATTAAGGTTATGAGATTATGATCATTCTGTATTCAAGTTTTCGGGTTTGTTTGGATTGTGAATTATTAGAGATATTTTCACCGCGGCAATTTTTTTTTGTGATGCGATGTACGTGAAATAAAAAAGTAATTGAAAAGATAAAAAGGTGTGTTGAAAATTGTAATGATGATGTAAGCAAATATATTTTGACAAATAAACCACAATCCAAACAGGATTTTCATTATCTGCGTTTAGTTATTGATTGGTGAAATTTTGATTTGTGGTGAACCAGATTTTCTGGAACTGTAATGATGTTTAACTGAACAAGAAATTTTCTATTTCTGGTTTCGAGGAAAACTGCTGCGTGTCTTGAATTTAGCCAAGCAGTGAATGAAATCGGATTTCTTCTTACTATGGGTGTGACCTTTTTGTTAACATGCCAGTGCCTTTGGTTTTTAGGAAGAGATGGTTTTACGCACAACATGTTGGATAACATACATGCTCACTGGAAGCGAAGAAGGGTGTGCAAGATAAAATGCAAGGGTGTGTGTACCGTAGACATGGAAAATGTTCGCCAACAGTTAGAGGTTCGACGTTTATTGGGAAATACACATACATAAAAGTTATCTTATTTTGTCTTTTCTTTGATTGCATTTAATCTTCCTTTTGTTAATATGATACTTGCTTCATACTTGAATAGTTTTGCCTTATGCAACTCTTCCTGTTGGTATTTAGTATAGTATGAGCAATGTTAAGGAATTGTGTTCCGCCTTGTTTAATGTACATGAAGCTCTTAACTTTTCATTAGAGCTAAACCATGTGCTATAAGAATTACTCTGCTGATTTTATAGAAAGTATACCTATTCCCCTCCATGTGATGTGTAGCTGTTCTTTTTTTTCTTTTGCTAAGAGTCATCTTGGTGAATAGCTGTGTCTGGGCTGTCATTTAAGAACCCAAACTATAAAATAGTGGAGTTTATAGTTGCTTGATTTTTGCTTAACAAGGAACTTGGGTTGATTCCCTCCTTAAATTGTTTAAAACCAAGTAGATGTTAAAATTGTGCATGTAATTGGAAGGTTAAATATTTAGTCCACTATTTGATTGAATTTTCAAGAATGATCCTTGATATTCCTGTTATCAAGCATGATGATGTCGTTCTTGTCCTGTCATAGTTGCCTAGTATTTGCCCTGGTCTCTACTAGTAGATGACTGGTGGAAGGAGAATACAGAGAATTGAAGGATCAAAATTCTGCTTTTTTTTTTAATCCCCCCTTAGGTTGTGCATGTTTTAGCTGCATAATGTTTGCCTTGTCTAATTGCAACATCATGGAGAGGCATAACATCCTTTTGCGGTTCATCATCCAACAGGAGAAAACAGGTGGACAAGTCATATATAGTAGAGGGGGAGTGATATACCTATTCCGTGGTAGAAACTATAATTATAAGACTCGGCCGCGTTTTCCTCTTATGTTGTGGAAACCTGTTACTCCTGTATACCCAAGGTTGGTCAAACGAGCCCCTGAGGGTTTGACTTTAGAAGAAGCCACAGAAATGCGGAAGAAGGGGCGCAATCTTGTGCCAATATGCAAGCTTGGTATGTTTATCTTTATTTTGATTGTCTATACTGTCTATAGGTGAAGTGACAGAGCAAAGTCGACCATTTTTTCCTAGGGATTAGCTGATTATAGTTTTGTGTTTATTACAGCTAAAAATGGGGTCTACTGTGACCTTGTTAAGAATGTCAGGGAGGCATTTGAAGCATGTGAACTGGTGCGAATCAATTGCGAAGGTGTGAATGGGAGTGATTACCGTAAAATAGGTGCCAAACTCAAGGTCTGGTCTTTTAATTATGGATGCTTAACATCTAGAGCTTTGAGGAACAGAAAAATCTGAGCAATCCTTAAATCTTTTAAGTGCAGGATCTTGTCCCATGCGTGTTAATATCTTTTGAGAATGAGCACATCCTCATGTGGAGGGGACAGGACTGGAAGTCATCCCTGCCAGAGCTAAGAAGTGATGCAGAAGGAATGACGGAAACTGAATCTGATGCTACGACCTTTGTTGGAACAATTTTAGAAGGAGAAGCCGAGTCATTAACAGCTTCAGCATCATCTGTTTCAAACACAACAAAAATGAATACAACTATTAAAGATCTTAACACAAGCAGTGGTTCTTGGAATTTTGAAGAGGTGGAATCAGATGGAAGCAGTGAATATGGAGAAGAGGTGGTTGGTGATCTTACAGCTTTAGCCACTTCTGCATGTGAAACGTATGAGAGTGAAAGTCCTCCGGATGTTCAGTGCGCCGTCGGTTCAGATGTTTTGGTGGATTTTGATAGAAGTGAAGAAGAATGGGATGGTTCAAACTCTTACCACAATGCCATGTTAACCGTGTCTTCAGGGCCTGAAACAAGGCTGGGAAGCACTTTCAGTAATGACAACCATTCAGAACCTCCATTCACGGCTCCTTTTACTTCAAGCAAGTTGGAAGGTGTATCTGAAGATAGAAAGGGTATCAGTGAACTTTCAAGTGCAACTACACCTTCAGCTGAGGAAGTTCTTCTCCTCCTCAGGCAGGCTGTTGAAAGTGGGCTTGCAGTTATGTTGGAGGATTCTAGCTTGGATGCAGACATTGTTTATGAAAGAGCCGTCGCTCTTGCTAAGTCTGCTCCACCTGGGCCTGTTTTTAGCCATCGACGTAAGCAGTTGGTGGTTCCAGAATGTGATAAGCCACAAAGTGATGATTTGGAGGTGAAAGAGGCTCTCAAAGTGCCAGAGAAAGAAGTTACTCTTTCGAGTAAGAGAGGAAGTGGGAAAAAGACTTCTAAAGGTCGAAGCATGAAGGACATTAGGGAAGATTATCTAAATGTAAATCAACCGGGAAGCCTAAGAGTAGATGAACTAGCGAAATTGCTAGCTTAATGAGTTCTTTTAGTATTGTTATGTAACTTTATTTGTTCTTCATTTATTTTTCCGATGGAGGAAGCGGTGAGAGGTTGTATGTTCAAATAGCAAGTGAATTAGGGATTCAGAAGATGGTCGAACCAATAAATTAACAGATCAACTTTGTATAGTGTGCTTTATATTAAGGCAATCTCGGCATCTTTCACTGTCATTTTTCCTGTTCTCCACCTTGGTCAATGAATCAAACATGCTTGGCTTTCAGTTGCGCTACTTTTATCACTCAGTTTGGTCTTCTATGTTTTGGCTGTTAGTTGGTCCTGCGGTTCTACTTGTAACTTCCATCTTGAGCCACCTCAATTATGAACCAGAGAGAATCCTTCTTGACCACCTTTATTCATTCAAACTCTTTTCTTCGATCTTCTCCGGCAAACTATCTGGAGGTTGTGACGTTAACTTCTAGGATTTCGTGCTCAGTGGGAGCACAATTTGTTAAACAGCGTTGTTTTGGGCTCGTACCATGCATCCATGTATGCGCTTTACAACAGGAAGTTAGATGATCCGCTTTAGATCAAGCTACTTCCCTTTACGACAGGAAGTTAGACGATCCATGCACATGCATCTTTTAGTTTTTTTTTCTTTTAATTCAATGGAGGGATATAAGAGTTATGATCTACCATTGAGAACTGACCCCTCCTCTCATCAATACATATTAAGAAGGAATATGCATTCGAAACTTAAAAGTTAGAAAGGAGATATAGGTGGTCAATTTTCTGCAATTTTAGCTCAATTGACATCATGATATGCTACTGTTTTAAGCAATGACATGAACACTATAACATGTAAATCTGCTTATCAGATTATGACTTGTACTTCCCCATTCTTGAAGTAAAATTATCCAAACAAGGAAAAAGCACAGACCCATAAACACAAAAGCAAAAGAAAATGTGCCCTAGGTATGTCAGGACGCAAAATAATTAGGCACAGAAAGAAAGTTGCTCCCTCAGACCTATTCTCTAGGCTGTTTCATTATTGGGTTTTCTGGGTTTTTGTATCTCCTGTCCATCTTCATTGGCATCAGGCGCGCAGTACCTCTTCCAAAACCAGTGGCTTTGCCACAGCAAATAGATCTCCTCTATTGGGACTTGCTTGGTCTCGGGCAAGAGGAAGTATACAAAGCAGCTCATGAAAATTATTAGACCAGCAAACAGCAAAAAGATACCGAATTTAAGTCCGCAGAGAGCTTTCAGGAAAAACTGAGCAACAAGAGCCGTGAAGAGCATATTCACGCTAACGACAATACTTTGGCCAGCCGACCTCGTCTCCAGGGGAAAGATCTCACTTGGAACTAACCAACCCAGAGGACCCCAGGACCTTCCATAAGCCAGAACGAACACGAAGATCATAATGACAAGGAAAGCACTAATTCCTTTGGAGAGCTCCTCACCCTTTCCAAATTTCAAAGCCAGAGTAACACCAACAGCAACCTGCATATCAATCAATAGCGTGATGTATTTTAGATGAAGAAAACGTCTACCTGTTAGATTATATTCATAAGCCAGAGGTCATATTCATGTAGTTAGCACTTTGCAAGACAGCATACCATGGTGATTATCATTTCACAACCAGCTTCGAGGAAAAATTTTCTCCTGCCAAACTTGTCAACGAGAGCCATAGAGATCAAGGCAGCTACAACTAGTGCACCATTTGTAATGACAGAGGAGTAAAGGGAGGCATTGGACCCAAAACCTAAGCTCTGGAATATGACAGGGGCATAGAAAAGAATGGAGTTATTGCCAGTGAGCTGTTGGAACGCTGGAATACCAAGGGATCCTATTATAAGCTGGGGGCGGTTCTTCCTCTTTAACAGATTTGAGAACGGATTCTTTATAGCTCGTGCGGCTTCGCTTGCTTCTAATAGGTCAGCAAATTCAGCATCCACGTTAGGTGTCCCTCTCACTTTCTCCAGGATCTTTCTTGCTTCGTCTAGTTTACCCTGTTCAACAAGACTGTTTGGGGTCTCTGGAGCAAAAAGTCCACCAACGAACATTATAGCAGCAGGAACCATTGCTAAACCGAGGGCTAACCTCCAGCCCCATGGATGAATGCTTTGGACACCATAATTTATTAAGTTGGCAACAAGGATTCCCAAGCAGGTTGTTAGTTGAAACAGTTGGTTAACTGCTCCTCGGATTTTAGCAGGTGCCATTTCTGAGAGATACAGAGGGACCGCCTGCAGAAACAGGTACAAAACGAGCATATGTGACAATCTTTCTTTATTTTTTTTTCACACGAATTACTCGGTGTGTAGGACAAATGGCTTACCTGATTCCCAAACCCAATGCCTACACCAAGCAGGCATCGGCCAATGATCAGCATCGCAATGTTCTCGGCTGCTGCATTGACAAGTCCTCCAGCAAAGAAGCTGACTGCCCCACACATAATGCTCATCCTCCTGCCCTTATTTCTGGTCACGTATGACACCCCAAAAGTTGAAATAAGTGCAGCGTAGTACAGGGAGGAAGTAAAGAGAGTGAGAACCTGATCATCATATTTACAATAATCTGTTTCATTCAAATGGTGGTGTTTCCTTTCGTACACTTTGGGGAAGAATTTTTTCAAGAAGTCATCCATTGAAGTCACTCCTCCTGTAACAGCAGCCCGTATCAATTTAGAGTTTGTGTCTTTCTTCTTTTTATTTCAATAACGATACATAAATTTGTACTTTGATTTGTACTTTCAAAGACAGGAGGACGATTAATGAAAGATACCACTGTGCAGGATTATTTGTCATTTATTCTGAAGCAGGAAGTACGTTACAAAAACTATTTCCAGTTTCTGCTCCTTCACGAAATTTCTAAATCAACATCATATTCCCAATAATTATCTACATTTAAAGTAAAAGTTAAACCTTGATTCCCAACCTTCAAGATTGCTTGGAACTTAAATAAAATGATGTGTACCACACATTTGTTTATTAGTATGTATCCCTAAAGGTAACTTTTTGATGATTCTGATGAAAACCACGACAGGACAGAGATAGTGCAGATCCCACCATTAAGGATATTCCAACAAGGATCATGAATTAGTCAAACCACAAAACTACGTACAAATTCCAGCACAACAGGAGATGACACCAAAGTGTGCAGAAGTCAGTCGAACCCACAAAAGAACATTCAATCAAGAAAGTGCCAAAAGCATTGATCATCTTAAAACCAAGTACTAAAACTACCGGAAGACTCACCAGAAACGCCCAAATCGTAACCAAAGAGGGATCCTCCAAAAGAGCCAATAACGCAAGCAGTGATGAAATATGACGTAATCTTATACTCATAGTGAGCAGCCCTTGATCCTCCTCCGTCAACAAATGCCCCGCCAGCCATTGCAGCTTCGAGTCTTCTTCCCAGAAAGGTAAAACTGACCGTTTCCTCCTAGGAGTATTCGTTTCTTCTGCCTATCGTGGGCTTCTTCGTGAACGAGGAAATACGGGGAGGAGCTGATCAGGAAGAGCTCGCAGAATCTTGACAGGAGATGACAATTGTTGTTGGCATTAAATAGAGAGATTTCAGTCCTAAATTGGTTAAATTGGATAAAGATGAACTACTCAAACTGCGGAAGTCTTGGTACATTTGGGAATGCATGTTGTAGTTTGTGATTAGGACAGCACGTATTAGTCAAAGCAGGGGATGGATACAAATATTACTGGTTTTCTTTTTGTTCTCATTTTTCAACTTTGACAGATTGTTAATTCATTGAATCCAGTTCTACCTGTTGACCGATTAGTAATTTATTGTATTCAGCTTTACCCTTTGTCGTATTGGAACGTCTCGATAATTTTATTGACCTCTACACTTTCTTTCATTGGTTTGGCTTTCAATAATTTTATTGTTGCTGCATGTGAACGAATTTGGAATAATAAATACTGGTTTGAAAGGCATTATTGATATTTACAGCTTAATTGTAAGTTTTGCTAAAAAAATTAAAAAAAAAAAAAGGTTAGTAGCAAGATAAAATGGAGTACGACAATTGGGGGTTTTATTATTATTATTATTTTGGGTTTACGTTCTAAGAATCTGAACCCAAGTACAAGTAGTATAATAAATTCACCTGAACAGGAGAACTTGCTGGCATTAAATTATTTGTCACTTGCCTATTTATTTAATTTGCGAATCTTTCATAAAACAAAACAGTAGTTGTAAAGGATAATGGATTGGTAGAATATATAATAATAATTTGTGTGTTTGGACAGCCAATTATTTGGCCAAATATATTTGCTGACATCACCATTACAATTTCCAATACACCTTTTTATCTTCCCAATTACCTTTTTATCTCACATACATCACATCACAAAAAGTGCTACAGTAAAAATATTTCAAATAACTTACAATCCAAACACACTCATGTTAGTGATTATATGTAAAAAAAATTAGACACGGAACTGAACCAATGATTATGTTGGACTCTCTCAAATCTACCACTTACAAATAATTTATGAGTGATATAAATAATCGAAAATTTATGGTACGAAAACACCACAAAAAATGTGGGGTGGATAAGATGAAGGATTAAATTCTTATCCAGTGTAAGTGCAATGGATTATTGGCATTAATATAGGTGTGGATGTATGTTACTGTATACATGACAATAAAAACGAATTTGAAATTAAATTGCATGGCATCGGTATTTAAAGGATGACCAAAAGTGATAGGTTTTGAATTAAGGGTTAATCACATTTAATCCCCTTAAGGTATATCCCATTTTTCAGTTTATCCCTTAATTTTTAATTTTGCTCACCTAACCCCCTATATGATAAAATTGGCCTTGCATTATTTTGACTTTTTATTTACCTTGCTTTCCTTTTTTTTTCTCTTTCTTCTTTATTTAATTCTTCCTCTTTCCCACAAAAATTTTCACCTTAATGATTGAAATTAAAAAAGAGAAATTGCAGAGATATATCTTCTCCTTAAATGATTCAAAAAAAATATTCAAATCACTTTCCTAAAATACAATTTTTTTAGCCTTTCAATTCTTTTAATTTTGGGTTTTCCTCTTTCCTTTCTAGTTTCTCATTTTATTCCCTATAAAATATCTTAAGATGAAATTGTGATCTGATTAATAATCATCAATTAAAATTTGTGACACTTGGCATCATACAAAAAATCAAAATTAGTTTTTGATGCCTTTTAAACTTTCGCCCAAAAATATGTAATT